TAAAAGGAATCACTTTAACCAAGCTGCTAAAATTATTAACATTATGAAGATGGAGACATGAAGGACTCTATTCTTGTTCTTCTTAAATAGCCTGAACTTTCCAGTCCTGAGTTGATGCCTCTGGATACATCTGGACAGACACCAGACCTCCAGATAACACTCTGATTACCCCCTGAAGGACCCACATATCCAGGTCACCTGATATCTATTATCCAGACCATCAATGTGACAAGACCCCTGGTTCCCATCCTCTAGACCCCCTGGCACCCATCATCCAGACAGCCTGACATCTGACCGACACCGCCTGACCACTCCTAGGGCTAAGAGTGCAGGGCTGACTTCTCTCCAATATGCACTTCTACTGTAAGTACTCCTAACTTTTTTTTATTCTTCAGAACACTTCTGGGTTTTTGCCTCACTGTGTTTCCAGTGTGCAAACTCTAAGACCCTTGAATAAATCTATCATTTATTTCTAGCCAGCCGAGACCGGTTTGGCTCAATGGATAGAGTGTCGGCTTGGGGACTGAAGGGTCCCGGGTTCGATTCCGGTCAAGGGCATGTACCTTGGTTGCGGGCACATCCCAGTAGGGTGTGTGCAAGAGGCAGCTGATCGATGATTCTCTCTCATCGATGTTTCTAACTCTCTCTCTCCCTTCCTCTCTGTACAAAAACCAATAAAAAATATATATATATATATTTCTAGCCAAAGCCTCCAAAGCTTTTTTGTGTTTGTCTGACAGTATTATTTACCATTTCAAAATGTAACCAACATGAGAATTATTATTGAGATATTTTACGTTCTTTTTGTGGCAGTGTCACATCCAATTACAGCCCCATTCTGAGCCTCAGGGGACAGCCCAGGACCAGGGTTCCCTTGCCCTGGCATCTTCCCATGGCTCTTTCTTTCTTTGGTAAGAATTCCATGATCACCGAGCCCCACCACCGCCCCGCCACCCCTGCACAGCCGTGTGCCTCACCTCTCCCACCGCCAAGGGCAGGCTCTGGGAGGCGAGGCCGTGCGCTCTGCTCTGAGAACAGAAAGTCTGCCGAGTGGACACACATGCCCCTGCCCACCGCTCTCAATGCTTCCGCAGGCTTCTGTCCTCCTCCCTCTTAGCTCCAGGCCTTCCTTGCTGATCTCCCACACACAGCGCCTTCCTCAGGCCACAGGAGCCTGACTTTTGCCCGGGAATGCCAGCCTGCAGACTCACGGTAGACACGGTGACTTCTGAACAATCCACAACTACTCTACTCACAAGAGCTTCCAACATGCAGCTGCAACATCAAACTGCCCCGGCACACCCACGGAAGGACCTGGGAGTACTTAGTGAGAAGCTTCAGGTCCAGAACCTGACTTGGAACTTTTCAATCGATGTGCCGCAAATGGGCACATGACACTGTGAACTGTGATTTATCATTTCAAAATGTAACCACCATAAGAATTATTAATGAGATATTTTACTTTTTTTTTTTTTGCACTGTCACCAATTATAGCCACATAGGCAGAGCAGGGGGTGGGGCTCGGTGATCATGGAATTCTTTTACCAAAGGAAGGAAGAGCCACGGGAAGATGCCAGGCAAGGGAATCTTGGCCCCGTGCTGTCCCGGTGTAGCCCCCAGCACCTGCGGCTACAGAATGTGGCTGTAAGTCGAGAACCATTTAAAACTACAATAGCTAACATTCCATTTCATTACTGTCAAATACCTTCTCAACTTCCCGATCCAGGAAAACAGAAGTGACAAACATATAATTTCTAATAAATGCAGTGAAATTCCCAACAAGCCTATGCAGAGGGCCCAGCCCTCAGCTGTCCCAGAGCCTGGTGTCCGCCGCGTGTCCTGGGGAGCGTGGCTGCCCCGGCCACGGCCACTGCTCTGCACGAGGGCAGCCAGGGAGACGCAGCCACACCCAGCCACACAGCCCTGCCAGCAGACCCCGGGGAAGCAGCTGAAATAAAACAAACCCATTTGTTTCTAGTTTCCTTTTTCAAGAACCAAAGAATATGGCAAGAATAGGCATTTCAGAATACAAGTCACTACGAGATAAAATAAAGCTCAGCTTCACAAAACAAGTATTTTTAGGGGCTGAGTGATGAGGCAGCAGTGTTAGGCTCTCCTGGGCGGTGAGGAGAGGAATCCAGAGCGGGGACCTCTCCGACACAGGGCGGGCGTTCTCAGGAGGCTGAATTTTTATTGAAATGTCTGTTTTACCATCCAGCAGCCCCTGCAATCCAATCTGGCCCTGAACTAAAGCAAGAGCCGCATGAATGAGTAAGACCAGAACAGCGCCGCCAGCCTGTACTGAGTGAAGTGGAAACCAGGACCACCTCCGGCCACTTCCTCCAATCAGAACTTTGTCATCTGGTACTGATTTTTTGTTTGTTTTTGTTTTTGTTTTTGTGGGGGGGGCACGCAGGGACAAGAGAGGGGTGAAGGGAAACAACACACTTTACTGCCATCTGCTGGAGAACGATGGTAAAATGAAGATGGCATGGACAGTTGGGCCGCTTTAAAGAAGTCCCAGGCCCTGGAGGGCTCCTCATGTCCACAACTACCTCCCTCCCATTAGCTCCACACACCGCCAGGGGCAGCTTTCCAACACAGACTGGACTTAGGTTTCAAGGTAGCAGAATAAAGACAGTTCTGCCTCTTTAAAATTTAAAAACCATCCAAAACAAGGAAAACAGAAACACATGTCAAAATACAAATGACACCTGAACGTGGGGCCTGACCCCGCAGTGAGGGATGTCCAGAAAGCGTGGCCTCCTGGCAGCCACCAGGCGAGCGCCCTGGACGGCTCGGGAGTGAGCGACAGGTCCCGGGCAGGGCGGGGTGACGCAGGAAGGAGACACTGGGCAGGGAAAAGCAAGCTTCTCCAAGAGCGGCTTCTGCTCCTTCCTCACTCCCACTGGCTCATTATCCGATAAACAGAAACAAACTCTCCAGACACGGCGTCAGACTCAAGACCAACAGACCACCGGTGTGAGGCCCAGGGAGGCAAGGGGAGAGGCCCAGAGTGTGAAAAGCACTGACAAGTCACAATAACATAAAACACAATATGGACACTGTCCCAAACCCAGTTACACTGCAGAACAGGATAGGTGAGGGTTGTGGAAGGTGAAAGCACTAAGTCAGTACCTTAAGCCCCAAATCAAAAAAGATCATCGAACAGAGATCTAATCATATATTTTAAGAAATGGAAATGAACACTAAAAGACCTGAAAAAGTTTGCTTCTGAGGAGAGAGAAGAGGGAGGAGTTGGGGACTCTGCTTTGTAAATAAATATTTGTAGAACTATTTGATCCTGATTAAATAAAAAACAAATCAACCAGCTCCTTCAGCAAGTTGCAGGACAATTATGTACGAGAGGACCTTGTTTTAAAAAAATGTAAGTTAAAAGGACATAAGAATAAACAGACATGCTGTCCTTGGAAAGCGAAGGAGACACCCCAGTTGCTCACCGGCCACCTCCAGGTGGCAGTGGAGAGCTGGGGGACTCTCATTTCTTTTAATTTCTTGAATTATATAAAGTAAAAAGTGGTGAGATTGTGGGTGTTTTATTTTAAATAATTAACATTTTATGCGAAGTACAAAACTATCTTCATGAGCAAAACTACAAGTGTGTATCTGTGCACGTGACACTGTACACGGGCCAAGGCCAGGAAGGGTCACACTGTGCCCGGGGCAGCTCTCTCCGGGTGACGGGAGAGCCGCTGCCCTGTGAATCTCCGGGCTCCGAAGGGAAGGGACAACACGGTAAACCATTTCCCTTTACACAGTTCATAAGGCTTCACAGCATCTGGCACTTACTAAAGTGTGAATATAAGATGTACTTAGAAGACATTAAAAGTGTCTTAGTTTATATAAAACTCTGTGAAAATTTTAGAAAGAGAAATAGAACAGTATGTTGGGAAATCTTCATTTTTAATTTTTAAAAAATTACTATTTTTAAAGCAAATTTGTCAACAGAATTTGTATTATTGTAACTGAACACTTGTGGCAGCAAAGGCTGTAACAACTCACTGGTCTGGAGCCAAGTGCTCGTCAGCCAACAGGTCAGGTCATGGATGCCGCTGCCTCCTGGCCTCGGGCGGCAGACCTGAGGGTCATGAGACCTTCATTCAGCAGCTGTGATGGAATCAACCTCTCCTGGCACCTGATGGATCTGCTGTGTCACTGGAAATCTACTCTTCTGTTACCAATAGGCTGCATTGTTCTTGTCTCACTATCTTCCCCTCCGTACAGATTTAGTTCCAAGAAAATAACTTATTGATGTTGAAACACAGTACCTAAAAATAATCTGTGAACAATATTAGTATGGCAATAATTCAGAGAATGCTATGAATTATCCCAATAAAATTACATTATTTCTGCCTCTAATCTCACTCAACATTTAGTTGTTTCAAAAAATTCTATCATGATGTTCTATTCATACAGTAGTTCAAATTAAAAAAAAAAAAAAAAAGAGTATTACACTGTATCTTCCCAATAGTACAGGAATCTGTCATTCAAATCCCAGTCTTAATCCAGTCCAGAGGCCCATCACAGGCCATTCCAGAAGCTCTCCCAGTAGGGCCAGGATGCTGGATGGCAGAATTTTACAATAGAAGAAACAAATGTTTAGGTTATAATTCATGTAAGATTTCTCAAACAAATACTATATTATTTTCCACTTGGTCTCCAATTTCTCCCACCCCAAATCTAATCCCTTGATTCACTAAAAATAGGATTTCAAATATGGCAAAAATACTGACAACAGGTGATAAACAGTACCAGGGAGTTCTTTGTCCTGCTCTTCTGCGGAATCCAGCTGAGCACCTGGCCGACCAGGCGTTCCCCAGATGTCTTCTGATCTAACAATGTTTGGAAACTCAACACAACCCTATACTTTATTTGGATTTTCAACATTGACAAATTAAAAAAAAAAATTGATCTGGAGGATTCTGGCAACAAAATTATTATGATTTTTAAAATAAAATTAATATGGCATCACTACTTACTCGATGAATGATACCGGCTGAATGAAGGTGTTTAATACCACAGAGCATCTGGTAAAGAAGATAGGACATTCTCTCATGGTCCAACTCCATATGAATAACCTGACATAAGTTAGCATCCATTAATTCCATAACTAAATACCTGAGGGGGAAAAAGACCAGCCATGTACACATGAAAAGCATCCAAAATTCCTTTGTGGATATTAAACCAGAATTTTTATGAAACAGTAATAACTTACTACCAACTCAATGTACTGGCTGAGGTAAAACAATAATTTGTTTTTCTCTAAACATTTTATAAGGTATCTTGAAGTAAACATATAATGGAACTTTATGAGTTTTGTTTTTTTAAACTAATGTTTTACAAGTTAAAAATAAAACAATTTATATATATCATAGTAAATAGAATCTCAAACATCCTACTTCTCCTACATCTTAATTTTTTTGTTTTGGAATCATTCTTATCAGTCTAGAAGCCATGCTATTATTTCTCTCATCTTAAGGAAACTTGATCCCTAGGGATATAAAAGGAAAATGGTCAATAATATTTCAATAACTACATAGGGTGCCAGGTGGGCAGGGTCATTACTCATGAGGTATATAAATGTCTGATTCTATATTATATACCTAAGATTAATATAACATTGTATGTCATCTGAAATTGGGAATAACTTTTTAATAAAATAACTTCACCTCACTTCCCACAACATCTTCTGCCCTTATCTTTATCCACTTTGTAAGCAAAACTCCCCAAAGAGGTGTCTTAGACTCACCATTTCCAATTCTTTCCCGTTTTATCCTAATCTCACTTGCTCAGGCCTTTGCCCTCATCCCTCTGCGGACACTGTCCTCAAGGCCCCAGACTTCCCTGCTGCGAAATCCCAGCTGCCAGTGCCCTCCTCGACCCAGCTTCTTCCTTTTGGAGTGCTCACTTCCTGTCCTTCCTGTCTCTGTCACCGTCTAGGTGATCTTCTCTGGCCTCTGGTTTCAAGACCATCAACTACAAATTCTTACCTTCAACTCAGACCTCTATTCTAACTTCCCACTGCACAGTTCCACTTGGGTGTCCAACAGACAACTCCAAGTCATGTCCAAAAATCAGCTCCTGATCCCACCTGCCTGATACCTCTCCCTGCAGCCTTCCTCGTCTCAGGTGAGAGCACTTTCACCTTCAGGGCATCAGGCAGAATTCCAGGCAGCACCCTCCGCACATGACCCTCCGCAAACACCGTGGTTCTACCTTCAAGACAGTTTCAGCCCCAGTCTCACCCCTTCCCCTCATCATTCCCTTCTGCTCTAAGTAAGCACCATGACCTCTCACCTGAACTGTACAATCACCTCCCAACTGGTCTTCTGGATCCCCACATCTTATGGCGGATTCTCAACCCAGAAACCAATTATTCTTTTAAAATGAAAGTCAGGTGAGCTCACTCCTCTGATCAAAGTCTTACTGAAGTGCCTTAGAATAAAAGGATATCCTTACAATAGACTTCCTCTCTCCTCTGCTGTTTGAGCTCCAGCCACACTGGCCTCTTGCTGTTCTTGAGCACATCATCCATCCTCCCACTTCCACTCCTTTGTGCTGCCTGTTCCTTCCATTTCATTCATTCTTCCTGTAGATTTCTGCAAACTGACCTTCTTACCTCCTTCAAGCCTTTCTTCAAACTTCACCAATCCAGGGAGGTCTTTCTCCAACCCCAAACATCCCACTTAAAACTGCAACCTGACTCCTAACACCCAGCACTCCAGACCCCCCCACGCAGCTCCACTTCTCCCACAGCACTGGCCTCTTCCTAAAGAATGACATCATTTCCTATTTCTTATGTTGATTCTCTCTTTTCCCAGGCTTTCCTGCCAGCTCTAGGAAGAAGGATGCTCACCAGCAATTCTTAAATAATAAAAGGATTTTTGTTTGTTTTGGTCACTAAGGTATGTCAAGTCCAAGAGAGGGCTAGCCATCAAATATTTGTTGAATGAGTGAATACAATAAATTTAGGATAATGTTGGGTATTATATCTCAATATAATAAATTAATATTTCATTTCATTGTTAGTAAGATAATTCTATTTCAGATTTGGAAACACACAATATCCAATAATTTAACCATTTCAAATAATAACTGTAAACACCTGAAGCTTATAATCCTGGCTTTCAAGGGACAATAGAAAATGTTTTCTATTTCAGTAAAGCAAATTACTAGCATTAATGGCCACTGTCTGCTCTGAAGAATTATTTCCAGTTATTTTTTATCTGTTAGAGATTATAATCATCTAGGTATAAAAATAGTTGAATATTATTATCAATTATTATTCAATTTCTTAATATTTCTCTTCTACAGAGAAAAGTGGCTAAGATAAAAATGTATTGTCATCCCAAGTAAAAAAAAAAAAAAGCAGTTACTTTCCTAAGTAAAAAAACAAACAAACATGCAGTTAATTTCTTTTCTAAATATTCAGTCTTTGATGCATAGGACATTACTGAATAAAAATGGTACTTACACATCTTGAAATTCTTCTAGAGTTTTTTGTGGTGTAAACACATTTAACAAACTAATTATCTGAAAAGAGAAAATTATTTAAACCTCAGAATTTCAGATGACTAAAAATTAAGTTTAACATTAACATATCAAAAATGGGGGGGGGGGAATCACAGCAGAGCTCAGTATTTTTACTAAAAACATACTACATGGTATTTGAAAAAAGTTAAATGATTAGGATTCTTACCTTAAAAATAGAATGTACTTTTCATAATTCACTTCTGTGTGTTCCTCGTAATTTATTATTAAAGAATTCTAACATTAAATGTCTTTATAACTCTGAACATAAAAAAGTAGAAATGGGGGGGAAAAAACACCACACTAAATAAAGCAATATGTTAACTCTGAAAACTTAAATTCTATGTACAAATTTCTAAAAAGGTTTTAAATGAAGGCTATGATTGCATTTTTGGTATGATAAAGATGAAATGCCTCGTAGCATTACGTATTTACTTAAAGAGTGTTCTAGAATGGACCCCACTGTAGGCTTTAGTCCTGCAGTCTAAGGCTGCTTGAGCATCAAACACACAGCCTCAATCATTTCAAATGACTGAGGGAAAGAGAAATGATTCAGTATAGATAGAATTGGGGTGGCTGGCTAGCCAAGTAAAAAGGAAAACTGGATCAACACTTCAATCTTATTTATACCAAGATAAACTTGAAATAGAACAAATATTTAAATCTAAAACATGAAACTATGAAACATTAAAATATGGGTAAACATTTATATATTCGTGGTGTAGAAAAGCCTTTTCTAAGCATGACAGAGAACCTAGGAGGTTTAAACCATTAAACCAAAACCAAAATCATCTCAACAAAAATAAAATCAGTAGGGCAACAACAACCTAAATAAGGTCAAGTGGAAAGAAGGGAGGGTTGATAGCTCTAACATACAAAAGATCTTCTGTAAATCCATAAGGAAGAGACCAACAGTTCAAGAGGGGAAAAAAAAACAAAGGGCATAGAATAAAAATTCTCAAGAAATAAAAATAAATGGCTAATAGAGATATTCAACCTCACAAGTAATATTTCATTTGTCATCTGTCAGACTAGTAAAGTAAAACACAGGATCAGTAGTATGCAGTGCAGGGGAATTTTGAAATAGAGGCATTCTCAGATGCTCTTAATGAAAGCGTAAAACTGACAGTCTTTCTTGAGGTCAATTTGTCAGAAGTGTGCATACTCTCTGACCCAACAATCTTGGTCAAAAAATTCAGCTGGACAATGTATACAGATGTGTGGAGAAGGATGTTCACTGCAGTACTGTTTATAATAGGGGAAAACTGGAGACCACCTAACTATTCAATAATAGGTGTTTGGTCAAATAAATTACTGCACATCTGTACTATGCAGCTATCTTAAAATGGATTATATCTATGTTCCTAATGTGTATGAGACCTAGCAACTTTCCATGAGGGAAAAAGCAGGATGCGTGATAGCACAGCTGATCTTGTTTAAGAGTGTGTGTATGTTCACATATGCATGAGGATGCTCACCAAATGTTAAAGACAGTGATCTGTGGGTGGTAATCAAGGATTTTCACTTTCTTGTTTACATTGTTTGAATTTAAAAAAAAATAGCCGAAACCGGTTTGGCTCAATGGATAGAGCGTCGGCTCGGGACTGAAGGGTCCCAGGTTCGATTCTGGTCAAGGGCATGTACCTTGGTTGCAGGCATATCCCCAGTAGGGGGTGTGCAAGAGGCAGCTGATTGATGACTCTCTCTCATCGATGTTTCTAACTCTGTATCTCTCTCCCTTCCTCTCTGTACAAAATCAATAAAATATATATTTAAAAAAAAACCATACTTTTTTGTAACCTGAAAATATTTTTAAAAACAAGTAAGTAAAATAAAGCATGCATCGAAAAAATTAAAAACTCAAAGCACAGACTCAGAAGAAAAACTATCTCAGTTGTGCATGCCAGAAAGACCCAGAATAAGTGTTAAAACGAAGGGAGCCATATAGAGTTAAGTGTCATCTTAATCACCACCTCCCAATCCTAACAAAAAGAGGTCGGGCATCTCCAAAGGCTCTTCCAGACTGAACATTTGGTGGATTTATAATGTGGTAAGGTTATAAAAGATGCTCAGAGACCAAGAATGGAATGTAAACCTTTTCTAGAGAGGCTTTTTCTCCTTAAAATGTACAGTGCTTTGATTTCTGTGGAGATGCCAAGCACAGCTATCATAAATGTAACATCATCTAACATTTTTTTAAAATTGCAATGTCTGTATTATAAGGTAAAAAGCTACTTATAGAATGATGTTTTATAAATATTTAGCTGTTTCTCAATTTGCTAGGTCAGTGCTGATATCACCGTATTGAAACAGGGTTAACGGACATTCCTATCCCTGCTGAGTGACCTAAGTTCCTATGGACCTGATGCCTCTTTTCAATTTCCCAAATGTTGAGAAGAATTTTATCAATAAACTATAACCATTTAAATAGTTATATTAATCATTAGGTTACTCTAGGTCTGAACTCAGTGTGACCCACAAGATTACCATGTCACTGACAACATTCACATACACTGAGGAAACACACGTAACTCACATTTTTATGATTGACACATTTCAGGAGCACGAGTTCACGATAAGCTCTCTTTGCATGCGTTTGATTTTGAAAAGGCCGGCTGAGTTTCTTGACTGCAACATTTATCCCAAGAACTGTATCAAAAGCAGCACTAAAATTAGGAAATAGAATAAGTGCTATAATAAGCAACCCATTAGAATGATTTTGGAAAATATAGCAATGCAAAATGTACAGTCAAAGTACAATCCTTTTAACTGAGTAACAGTAAGAAAAATCTTCCTGCTTGCTTCCACGTGAGGTGCTTGTGCTCCTGCAGAGCCGGGGAGCTGGCTGAGGGCAGGCTGCATGGACTCCTCTGCAGAGGTGTGGCCGAGGCCGCTGCAGGTGGGATGGGGGTTAGCCATCCCAGGCATGTTGACTTCTCATTACATTAGTTGAGATTATTATATTCAGAACCAAGTAATTTAACATACAGCATGTAACACAGGTCAAGAAATGAAACCTTCAGTTTAAACATGCCAGTAAGTGAGGGGAAAGTCACTGGTTATCACAGGATAAAAAGTATATTTTGGAGCAACAAAGAGGGGGAAATAGTTGAGCTCATGGAAGAATATAATAAATCTAAGTTTTGACTGAGTGTGTTTTTCCCAGACGAAATAATCTAAAAAGAAAACAGAAACCAAAATCTCAGCTCAGGGTAAATCCCCAAGATAGAAAACTCTAATGTAAACAATCGCTACGTATAAAATTCCACTAGAAACACCATATCATATTAGGGTAGTAAGAATAGAATCTTCCAGAGCCTGTGTTTCCAGCATCCCAAGTTCCTAGTTAAAATTTATGGTTAATTTTCTTCCAGAAAAATAGAAAAACCTGAGTAGCCTGACTGCACATTTTGAACTAATTTCAAACAAGTACCAATAGTACATTCATGTTATTATCCTTCGGCTACCCTCCAGGGGCTCACAGCTGCTGAAGACCCCCTGCAAACCCAGGCACTGCCTAAAACATTGTTTCTGTGTCTTTATCCTCTTCAGTTTACAGCATGGCTTATACTTAGTCACTCCTGTGAATAATGTTTTCTGCCGAACAACCCTAACTTAACTCAACCTGTTTTTAAATTTAAGGCGAGAACAGCATTTGGTTAAGAATGATTAGAAATTTCGTGTCCCTTTGGAATTCTTTTTCTTATCTAATTCTGTTCACATTATGTATACATGTTTACACATATGTAAATTCACATGTTCATATGTAAATGTACCATTCATATAAATTATAAAATGTTAGAGAAATCCATTTGTGAAGTGAATCGTTAATTAATGTACTATTACATACATATGTATTTGTACCTACATATATTTCTGTCTAGGAATGTGAAAAACAAACACATCTTTTTTGGCCTCAATAGTTTTTGTCCAAAATGAGCCAAATAGACCAATTCTGAGCATCTCAGCAGACACATACTTCCCCACTCCAGGTTTTACTTCTTGCAGTTACTTTTCAACTCCAAGAACATACTTTTATTACTATTTCCTCATTTATAAACTTTAGAAATTATCTATTCACTTCCCATTATAAAAACTGATAACTTGGTCACTTATTGAAACCTCAACTCCTCCTAGTTTTTTGCTCTCATGTTATTTTTAAGTTATTTTTTATTTTTTTGATTATCCACGAACTTTAAATAACATTTCCAAACTTATGCTCCATCAACTTCCAAAGAACCCTCTTCACTCCCCCATAAGTAAAATTAGATTATTAGATTCATGTCCTTTTTCCTCCAACTCTCTTCTCTCTTCCTCCAAACTTCTTACTCGGTCAAGCCTAATAACACACTCTATGACTTCTACAGCTAAGTCTTCCGTGTTTCTTACTTAGGATGTGACTGAAAGTTGAAAATCAAGGCAGAGCATGTGCATGTAAGTATTACTGACTGCAGAGCTGGGATTACATTTCATTTTCTAAAGAGCACATGACGTGTTGCTGGTCATAAAAGAGTGAGGTTGTTTCCAGCATTGAGGTCAAATGGATCTCTTTTCTTACATTCCACCAATTGCTCAAACATCATGTTCTTTTAAATCTGTTTTATATTTAGACCATGAACTTTTTTAGCTTTTCCACTGTACATTTCTAATACATGTGTTTTTTCCTTATTAAGAGAAGAAAAACATACCTTTTTAAGCCTATTACCAGTACTTCCTACCTTATCACTCAAATTATCTATTGTTTGGAATCTATTCCATTCTTTCTGAAGACATTGTCTTGAGTTTCTTTCAAGGCCTGCTGCACAGCTATCACCGGGGACTTCTCAATGACCTCCACTGTGTCTTGTGTTACATATTGTGTTCTCTTTCTTAGAAAAACATCCTCAAGACATTTCCTCAAGAAAAGGCTACGGGAGATAATCTTCCTCAGCCGTATCCATGAAGCTTGTCTTCTAAATCCAAACTATTGGAGATAAGATTATGCCAGTCTGATATCATTCCTTTGCTTCCTTTTTTGTTCCTTAACTCAATGGTTTATCACAAACGGCGTGCTTTGTCAGCATTCCTGAAGCGCCCCACACCTCCTACAGATCACTGTCCCTCCCTTCCCCCAACTGCTTTGACTTTTATGATAATCACTGCTTGCTTTTACCAGTTAAACCTGCATCTTTCAGCCCCACCCCATGGTTTATTTTAGCCTGGATTTTGAAATCATCTGTGTCTGACTTCTTTCACTCAATATTATATTTGTGAGATTCATCCACTGTTGTTTTGCACAGCTATAATTCATTCTGCATCATTGCTGTATATTCCTTTATATGACTATATGACATACTGCTGCTGTTTTCAGTTTGCAAGGAATTACAAAAAAAACACAGTCATAAATATTCTCATACATGGCTCTGAGCCCCTATGCATGCATTTTTGATGAGTAGATAGCTAACAGTGGAACTGCATATATTTTATTTTAGTAGATAATACTAAGCTGTTTTTCAAAGTGGTTCGTTCTACCAATTTCTAGGCATTTCATTATTATTTTTCTGTATACTGATCCTGTGTCCTATAAGAGAGCTAATCTAATCCCAAGAGCTCTTTAGAAGTTTGTTGTGGCTGGTGAGAAGAGGGGTCAGAAAGATTTGACTCTTGAGAAGGACTAGCTGTGACATTGCTACCTTTAAATGGTCATGTGAGAGAGAAGGTGGGGTCTCAGGAGCAGAGTGGCCCCTGCTAACAGCGGCCCAGCGGCCCCTGTTGGCTCAGGCCTACAGCTGCCAATAACCTGAAAGCAGATTCTTCCCCAAGAGCCTGCAGCTTACAGCCCAGGCCAGCGACCTCCTGCTCAGCTTGTGTGATGCTGAGCAGGGAACCTGGGCTCACCCACACAGATTTCTGGTCTACAGAACTAGGTGCTGTTTTAAACCACAAGTTTGTGGTAATTTGTTATGTAGCAACAGAAAGCTAATACATCTTCTCTTATGTATTTTTCTACTCTTTACTCTATTTTTTTCTACCTATCTTTCAGACCATTAATTCTCTCTTCAGTTATGTCTAATATGCTGTTAAGCCTATCAATTAACTTCATAATTTGGTTACTGTATCTTTCAATTCTAAAATTTCTATTAAGTTTTTTTAAGTTTTCAGTTTCCCATCAAAATTCTTTCATTTTGCCTTTTACCATCCTGAACATAACATCGTATCTATTTTAAAGTTTGGATCCAATAATACCAGTACCCCCGTGGGTCTGGTTCTTTTCTCTGTTGTTTGTGCTGTTGTCTATCTCCTTGTCTTTGATTGTGTGCTGAAGCTCGCACTTAGTAAACGGTTTGCCATCAAGAAATAATTTGATACGCAGTATGTTGCTATCTTCCTCCAGAGAGAATTTACATTTACTTCTGCTGGAGGTCACCTTAAGTTCAAGTTCACAAGTGAGAAGATTTGAAGCTGAGTGGTAGTACCCGCAAGCACCTCTTTCTCCCTGGCTCATTCTTATTTCCAGGATGCAGCCCTTTATTGGTCCCAATTCAAAGCAAAGGAAGTTCACTGCACCCCTTTAGGCTGTCTTGTGTTATATGTTGTGTTCTCTCAAATCCTGTCTCCACATCACACAGATAGTCCAAAGAACCACTCAATCTCGCAGCTGCCCAATTTTCAATTGCCCTCTAGGGAAAGACAGCCCAAATCCTGGCTCCCCTCTTTAGACTTCTGTCCTTCCACAAATCCTGGCCTAATACTTCTTCACTCACCTACACACTCTCTGCACATGTGTCAAACACAAGGCCCGCGGGCCAAATCCGTCCCGCCAGGCCTTGCAATGTGGCCCGCACCGCGCTGTCATCACTGCACTCCGCTGCGTTTCCATCACAATGACAGTTTATGACTGTTCAGTAAACCATTCGGCCCGCGATTTAGGCTGGATTTTAGATTTTGGCCCCTTCTCTGATTGAGTTCGACACCCCTACGTCTAGGGCAAATGCTAAACACTGGGTTTGGAATGAGGATGAGGATGTTAAGAGCCAACCGACACAATGTGTCAGAGACGCACTTTAATTAACACTCCTATTTCACCTTCATTGCTGTATCTGTCATCGCTGTACCAGCGTCTCTTTGGTGCTCCACTACAGACAGGTTCTCTTCCTTGTTGCAAATGTCCCATCCACTTATTCTCTCTTCCTCTACTGTTTTATCTGCACAAGTTTCTAATTATCATATTTCAGAAACTGGTTAAAGGCTCTCATCCACCGATTACTGTCCTCTTGTTCTCGTTTAGGTGTGTAATCCACTATCTTAAATCTGAAGTTCCAAACCACTCATTTCAGGGGTGAAACTATTAAGGCCCCAAAAGACACTTTATTTACCAAGGTCACCAAAAACTACCACTATGAGGATCAGAGCTAGATTTAGAACTCAAGTCTCTTGAATCACAGCCTTTCTATGCCTTATACCACACATCTTCTTTATCACAGAAATTTTACTATAGACATTGTTTTTATTTATATTAATACAGAGAAAATAAAACATTCCTGCTGAACAGAACTAGAAGAAGCAAAAAGAAAAAAGAGCTCTATCAACCACTCCATGTTAGGGTTTTAAATGCTGCTAGCTCTAAAATTAAAGACGTTTTTTAAAAAGGTCAATACACCCAGCCAATGTGGCTTAGTGGTTGAGC